GCAATGCCTAGTCGCATGGGAACACGTGTGCAATCTTAAGGAGGAAGGTGGGCTTGGCGTTCGGGCGCTTGCAATCCAGAACCAAAGCCTCCTCGGAAGAACCTCCATCGCCTTCACACCTAGCTGGAGATCTCTTTGGGTGTCATGGGTGTTTCGTCGCTCGACTACACGCCGCTTGGGGACGTCAGGTGCTCCCCCAGATCAGTGAACACTAGACTCCCTCATGGCCCTCTCCCCTAGTATACCTCCATCACGACAGTTAGCCTCGGGGATGATCGGCGTGTAGAGTTCTGGCATAATCAGTGGCTCCCCTACAGTCCCATGTTGCCATGGAACCCAAGGCCACCATTGCAACGGTTGTCATGAGAGGCTACGATGCCCTCCTGGTTCCTCGCCTAAACCACCCTAGGGAGCATGAGCGTGATATCATGCTCATGAATATCGCCTCCGTACGGCACACTGGCTGCCCCGATGCAAGCCGCCTCACCCACTACTTGAGGGGTAAGGCTGTGCGAGTCGTGTCCTCTCCCTTTGTGTTGTCCGCTTTGACAGTGAGGTCAACCCGTTTGCCAACTTCGTGTGGCTCAGTCGCGCCCTATCTCGGGTGTTCTTCTTCGGGTGGCTCGCGATTCAGGCCTGGGTCCACATGAGGATGTCCTCCTTTGTAAGAAGATCATCGACACTATCGATACGGGCCATCCCATGTGTTATGACACCATTGAAATGACAAACCATCTATTTTTCTCCTACCCCTTCGCCTGCCACTTTTGGGACGTGCTCGATGTTTGGCAAGATCTCCAGGCCGACGTCAGGTAGCTCCATCTCTTAGATCTCTATGTCATAGTGCTCAGGTGACGTCTTTATTGCGCTGGTGCTGCTAGCAACTTTGGAAACACTAGAACGGTGTGGTCTTCTAGGATATCCATCGTCGCTACCCCTTCTTCTCAAAATCTGTCGCGATGATGTTGTTCTATGGATGCCTCGCATGCTAGCTTGCCACCACGGTGAGACCGACCGTTGGATGGACTGCTTTTGTCTAAATCCCTGATTGTTCTGATGTAGCCTCTCCCCTCTTTGGCGATCCCACAACGTGCTAATGACATGTTATGTGGTCAAATCACTATAACAAAGCGACACACAAGTCGATGTTCTCACATCACTTCTGTATGCTCTATAAATACTGCTAGCTGGTGACGCACTTTACTCTGTCATTCCTCGGTCATCGAGTTAAGTTTTTCTTTCCGGGCTATTACGGTTAGAGGTGAGCACTTTTACAACAAAAATCAAAGAACCAAACTAAATTGAGTTGACCGATATACCTGGTTTATTTGGTTTAAGATGTTCAATTCGGTGTTTCCATGGCTAGTTGTTTTGTGTTCGGAATGTATCATCGATTTTCATCCTACATAAATCGAATTGACTATCAAACCATATACATCAAAATGGACCTCCCTTTTCATTAACATCCCTACTTTGCTGGCATGTGTAGGCATGGCCCATGGCCATGTACGATGCATGCCCCGCACATAACCCAATTCACTCGTGTATGTACTCTCAGATTCACTTTCTTTGCACCGGTTTTCGTCCCTAAATGGAATTTAACCTCTCAACTAATTCTCCTCCTAACCTTAAGATGAGATTTACTGCTACAAGGCCTACCCACAACGACTCTCCGACAAGTGCTCGTGTTAACTTGTGATGCCTAATACACACTTCTATTCTTCTAGACTCTGTTGGACCTCCAAGCATAGAGGAGTGGAGGGCAGCAACAAATTTTCCTCAAGTGAATGACCTATTCATGGCAGGCGTAGTTTGAAATTGATACCTCTCAAACAACCCTACAGTAAAATACAAGTAGTCTCTTGTGTAACCAACATACTTAATACAATTTTTAATTATGTAGGTGCACTAATTCCATGAAGAGGGTGATAATTTGGGTGATAGATTGATAGATTGGATGGTAATAAAAAATCGAAATAAAATAGGATAACAAGGTAAACAATAGTGAAAGTGAGTAAAATGGTGTCTCAATGCTTGAAAATAAGGCATAGTGTTGATACTTTAACTAATGATATTTCTCACATAATTAACATACTTAAAACACATGATATGTCTTCACAATGTGTAGTAAAGAACCACTCCTAAGTTTCTATTTTTATTGGATCAAAGTAAGGTGTGATAGCGTAGGAATGGCTAGGTACACCTCTAAGTTTGTCTTTCTAATCATGATCCATAGGGCTACCCCAATATCACTTCAGACAACCCCGAAAATTATACTAAACAATCACCTTACGATCTCTATCATTCTAATATATTATCCATAGAGTCACCTCCAATGTCACTACGGGCATCTCCAGGAATTATACTAGACATGAATCATGTAATCTCATTGCTCCCAAAATATTCAATCCAACACAAAGATAATATGAGGGAGATACATACATCACAAAACTCAACTCCACTAACAAATCCCATGATCACAATCAAGATCGAAAACTTACATGATCAACAGGAGAGAGAGAGAGAGAGAGAGAGAGAGAGAGAGAGAGAGAGATCACATAGCTACCAGTATAAACCCTTAGCCCCGGGGGTGGACTACCCCCTGCTCGTCATAGGAGTAGCAAGGGATGATGAGACGTTGATGAAGATCAATCTCCCCCTCTGACAGGGTGCCGCAAAAGGGCTAAACCAATGTTCTCCTCGGACCAGGAAGTGGCGGTGATGAAAAAATTAGGATAAAATATGGGAGGTATTTTTAAGTTCGTTGGTTAAAACCAAACAGGCATGCCCTAGTACGCGCTTCTGTTGGCTGGCTAGTCCCTCTCTTGGGCCTCGGTCATCTGGAGAGGTGAAGGAAAAACCAAAGAGGAAGGAAAGTTGAAACAAGTATAGAGGATCTTTACAATGTTCCAAAAAATATAAAACGTTAAATGTAAAAAAACATGTTAAAAAATTAAAAGTTCATGAATTTATAAGATGTTTACAATTTGAAAAACATGTTTCATGAATTTTAAAATGTTTACGAATTTCACAAAATGTTCCCCTCAAAAGAAAATGTTCATGAATTAAAAAAAATGTTCTTGGGTTTGAAAAGAAGTTCCCCAAATTTCAAAAACGGTCATTAGTTTTAAATAAAATATTAATGAATTTAAAGACTTGACTCTCGAACGGCGTAGGAGCGTCACGTTCTTCTGCGAATAGGCTCAACAATTGCCCACTATCGATCCACTCCGATCCCTAACATGTGGGACCATGAATGGAAAAACTACCTTGATGCACCAAAAGGCTTCATTCCTAGGGAGCTTAGTACTTCAGAGGAGAGATACTCTGGTTTCAAAAGGAAAGCAAAAGAATTGGTCTGTAATTCCAATAGAGGAAAGAGTTCAAGCGCTGACCGAACTGGAGAATGGGCACCATTTCTAGATTGACGTTTGGGCTGAAGAAAAGCTGTAACCGTTTTCTGTCTTTTTTTCCTGAACAAATTGTGAACGTTTGTCTGTCTTTTTTTCCTGTCTTTTTTTCCTCGTCCGTCGCGATGCAACCGCAGCCATACAATGCGGGCAAAGCACATCATTCTTCCTCTCAAGGCTGTCATCCCATCCTCTGTCCTTTTTCTTCCAGATATTGTCGGATTCCATTGCAGAGATTATTCTCCACTCTCATCAACTTGCTCGAACAGTGACCGATCATTCAGACCACTGGCACTGTGCCATGCGGCATCCACCTGAAGACACGAGAGCCACCGCACCCGTCACCGCCCCTTGTTACGACCGTCGACCAGTCATACTCATATCGCCGACCCCGATCTCGCACCTTCGCGTCTACGTGCGTGCCCGGCGCCGCCACGTCTCCCCACGTCTACATTGCAGGGACGTCGTGATCGGCGGCCAATACTCTACGCAGTGTCGTGTACACGAGTGTGATCCAGGTGGAGACGGCGACGGGAGAGAGATCGAGACCGGGAGGCGGCAGCCATGGCGATCAAAAGGCTCTCGAGAAAAGCGGAGAATCTAGAGGAAGAGGAATCAATCTGCTCCCCTCCCACGCCGGTGCCCCCCGTCCGTCCACCCAAAGCCCTGAGCTTTTCATCCTGTCCCCCCTGCCTTTTGTCCCCCCCTCGCGCACTCGCACTCGCACTCGCATCATCATTCCCTCCATATATCTCCTCTGCGTCGTCGCAGGATCGAGCCGGAGATAGCAGAGCGCGCGCGTGCGAGGCCGACAGGTGTGCGGGACGAGGACGGCGGCGGCTGCGAGTTTTGGGCGCGCATGGGATGAGACGGCGGTGTGAGCGCGTTGCTTCCAGTGAATGGATCGCGGGGGGAGCGCGGGACCCGGCGCCGTCGGTAGCGCCCGCAGCCTCGGCCTCCGGATCGGGCAGGCCGCCTGCTCGTCGGCGGCGCTCATGTTCATGTCCGTCGGCGTCGAGTTCTTCAGCTACACTGCCTTCTGGTATGTACTCCATGCCTCTCTCTCTCTCTCTGATCTTCGGTTTATGCTTCAGCCTTCATGGGTGCAGTGATCAGCAAGTTTGGAGAAGTGTAAAACGAAACATTTGAAAATGAATTACATGCGTAGTACGTACTATCTTTCTTTCTCCGAAGACATGGAAATATAGACCTCTCGTGGATCTCCTTAGATCCTAAAAACATGGAAAATATGGTATAAAAACATGAAAATATGTTGAAGACTATCATTTGTTCTAAACTCCGTGCAAAACATGGCAGCTTCCTGGTTACGATCATGGGCCTGCTGGTCCCGTGGAGCTGCACGCTCGCCATGATCGACATGTACTCCATACTCGTCGGGTGCCCGCTCCACGTGCCCGGTGTCATGGCCATCGTCGTCGTCGGAGACTGGGTATGTACCACACCACGTAGCCAGCATCTCCCCCTCGTGTCAATACCCGATTCTTCAACCTTACTAGTGCTATAAGAAGCATGCTAACATATACAGAATAAATTTGCAGGTGCTGTCGATACTGTCGCTGGCGGCCGCGAGCTCGAGCGCCGCCGTCATCGACGTCCTCCTGGAGTTCCATGGATCCCACTGCGCCCCGAGGCTGTGCGAGAGGTACCAGCTCTCCGCCATGATGGCGTTCCTGTCCTGGCTCCTCACGGCCGCGTCCTCCCTCTTCAACCTGTGGTACATCGCCTCCAGGTGAGGTGAGGTGAGGGTGGGTGGTCGCCGATGAGGTCGCCAGACTCTGACCCGCTGAAGCATCTCTGAATTCTACTCTGTATAGCTGGAAGGAAGGTTTTGTATGTGTATAGCTGGAAGGAGGGTTTTGTATTCAGATTTCATAAACCTGCCTCTGACTAATACGCCATTCTGGGCATGATGGATGCCGAATTGGTAAAGATTGTTTCAAGTTAACATTCCACCTTCCACACGATCAGCTCTTTGCATGTTAGTGTATTATATTTTGTTTCCGTTTCTGATCAGTACAACGTTTATAGAGACAGTATCTCGAGAGTTTATGCAGATATACAAGAGGCTGCTGAAGACGGAACAACATATGTAGGTAGTCGGCTGATGGATGTGATGTTTTTGTAGCGCAATATTTTTCACTTTCTGAGGGAATGGTGGCCATTTGTTGGTGGAGATTTATCCGTGACATTCCGACCTGCACAATAGTGCTATCTTAGCGGTGTCATGTAGGAAAGAGAAACAAAAGAAAAGGTCTTGCCTTCTCTTCATTAAGAGATAGTCTCTTAACAACAAATATCTCACCACATTTTCATGAACTAGAGATAAGATTAACAGACCACCCATTGTGCATCATCTTCTTTGTTATTTCTAGATTACGTGGCACGATTAAGGTAAGATTGTCTTATAACCCACTGCACATGCCCTAATCCACCTCAATCCTCACCTTACCAAGCTCATCTTCCACCATCTACCCGTGGATAGCTTTGCGTCAAGCTGATAACTAGTTCCGCAATTCTAATTGTTTAATAAAAAAGTATTTGATTAAAAAAATTAAGAATGTGTTGCAAGAATATATAAACCGTTCTATTTCGCATATTTGAAAAAAGGTACTTCAGAAAAAATAAAAACATATTATGGAAAAGAAAAAAAAGTTCATGAGTATAAATTTTGGTCACATATTTGAGAAATATTCTTAATGTATTTGTGACCCTTTTTTCCCCTACGCTGCGGCTAGGGTTTTCCTCCTCCTGGCGATCGGATCGCCGGTGAGTCCCTATCCAATACAAACTACTCCTCCCTGGCAATCAATCGCCAGCGAGTCCATCCATCATCACCTCTCCCTTGCGTAGGGGTGGGTCGTTCTCTCTCTCGGCGCAGATCGAGATAGCGATGGCGGCCGACGCCCAGTAAGGAACGAGCGGTGGGAGTGGTGGCGCAATGAAGTCAGATCTTGATGAATTTCTGGAGCAACTGAATCTGGACAAAGAGGAATTCGATGACTTGGTTATTGACGCAGACGATCCTGAGATCAACGAAAGCGTTAGATGGCTTGCCCTAGCTAGGGTTCATACGGACAAATCCTTTAGCCAAACTGCTTTCTACAGGGAGATGCGTGCGGCGTGGAACACAGCCCAGCCGGTTAGGTTTCGGCCGGTGGGTCAGAATCTGTTCGTGGTACAAGCTTCTTGCCTGGGAGATTGGGAGCGCATACTGGATCAAGGACCGTGGTTGTTCAGGAATATTCTTGTGTTGATGTGCCCATATGATGGTTTCACGAAAGCTGAGGAGGTACCAATGGTGTTTATGCCAATTTGGTTACAAATCCACAAACTTCCCGAGGGTTTCTGCAAGCAGAAGATTGTGCAACATCTGCTCAGGAACTCAGGTGAGATCTTGGAGATGAGACTTAATGGGAATACGAGGGGAGACTATGTCAGAGTGAGGATCCGTCACGATGTCAGCAAGCCTCTTACAAAATTTGTCAGTATTGTTCGGGGCCAGGAGAGGCAGGTGTTCTTGGTTCGGTATGAGAAACTTGCCCGCTTTTGCAGTGTTTGCGGCTTAATTGGTCATGAGTATAAAGAATGTGGTAGTGGTATTCATGAAGAAAAAGATAAGAAGTATGGGGCGTGGTTATATGCTGATGGTCTTAACAAACCACGTCAGGAGGAACATCATATGCGAGGTGGTGCTAGGCAATATGAGGCGACACCGCAACGTGAGGGGGGTGCAAAGAAGGTGGTGGATCCTGACATGCTGGATACAACCACCAGCCCCCCAAAAAAGGGACATACCCACATGCAGGTCGATACGGGTGTCAGGAAGAGATTGGCAATGGATGGTGGGGGCTCGAAAGAGGTGAAGGGTACCCAGATTTCGAAGGAAAACACTCTCGCTTTGACCCTTGGGAAGGAGGAGGATAAAGGTCACCTAGCAGCAGCAATGGAAGCAAGCGAGCAAAAACTAGCTCAGAGGGTGTATCAGGCGATAAATCGGCGGCCTCCCGAGAGGAGGACCACCGGGCACAATGAGTTTGTTATGCTGGAACTGCCGGGGGGGACAGTCGGACAGTTCGTGAGGTTTTGGCCCTCTCAAAAGCCAATTCCCCGGGGCTCATATTCTTATCTGAAACCAGACAAGCCTCAAATAAAATGGAGTGACTCAAGTGGAGATTACAGATGAAGGGTTTTGTAGGGTGTCGAGCCAGGGTTTGAGTGGAGGCCTTGCCCTCTTCTGGGACGAGAGCTTGCAAGTCACAGTTCTAGATGCTTGTGCACGGTATATAGACGTGCGGATAGTGGATATAGCGAACGACAAGTCATGGAGGACAACCTTTGTGTACGGGGAGCCGAGAGTGGAGAATCGGCACCGGATGTGGAGCTCGCTATCTAACCTAAGGGCGGTTTCTGCTGAGCCTTGGTTAGTATGCGGCGATTTCAACGAAGCTATGTGGCAACATGAGCACTTTTCTCAGTCACAACGATTTGAAAATCAGATGCAAGTGTTCCGGGATTGCCTGCTAGCATGTGAACTTTTGGATCTTGGATTCAGTGGCGTTCCGTTTACATACGATAATGGCCAACAAGGAGGGAGGAACGTACGGGTCTGGCTGGATAGGGCCTGCGCGGACGATGCATGGAGGGATTTGTTTCCACTCACACAGGTGGTTCACCTGGCGACCTCATGCTCGGACCATTGCCCGGTTCTTGTTCGGTTAGCTGCGGTTCCACCGAGAACTAGATCTGCGTCACGTTACGAGATTATGTGGGAGAGACACCCCGGCTTGACGGCGGTGGTGGCAGAACGTTGGGGCCGAAGCTGCCCAGCTGGTAACTTGGGCGCGGTTCGGGATGCTCTTAAAGAGATGATGATCAAACTGCGGTCATGGAGTAGAGAGAACTTTGGCCACGTTATTTCAAACTTGGAAAAGTTACAAGCAGAATTAGCAGACCTACAACTGCATGATGCGGACAGAAGTTTAATAAAACAGAAAATGCACCAACTTGATGAACTCCTCTATAGGGAGGAGATGCTTTGGCTTCAGAGATCTCGGATCACATGGTTGAAAGAAGGTGAGCGAAATACGTCATATCTTCATTGCCGTGCGGTGTGGCGTGCTAGGCGGAACTATATACAATGCTTGAAACGAGAGGATGGTACGTGGTGCTCATCCCCGACAGATATGCAACGCATGGCCACATCATACTTCAAGGAGGTTTATACGAAAGATCCAACTCTTACTCCGGAGAGTGTATTGGAGGGTATAGCATCTAAGGTAACTCAAGGTATGAACGATACCCTTTGTGCTCCTTTCACGGAGGAGGAGGTATCAAATGCCCTCTTTCAAATTGGCCCGCTAAAAGCACCAGGGACGGACGGCCTCCCTGCGAGGTTCTTTCAATGAAACTGGGCCGTGCTGAAATCCGAAATCATAGCTATTGTGCTGGAGTTTTTTAAGTCCGGAGATATGCCGGATGGGGTGAACGACACGGCTATCGTTCTTATTCCGAAAATTCCTTTCCCAAAGGAACTTAAGGACTTTAGACCGATAAGTCTGTGTAACGTCATATACAAGATTGTCTCAAAGTGCCTCGTGAACGGGCTAAGGCCGCTGCTCGCGGAGCTAATCTCAGAGAATCAGAGTGCCTTCGTTCCAGGGCGGCTTATCACTGACAATTCGATTATTGCTTTTGAGTGCCTTCACCACATACAGACGTTGAAACAAAACAAACCGGCGGCATGTGCGTACAAGCTGGACTTGTCGAAGGCATATGACCGCGTTGATTGGGACTTTTTGGAGAAGGCACTTGGTAGATGGGGCTTTGCCCAACAGTGGATTGCATGGATTATGGTGTGTGTGAAATCAGTAAAATATTCGGTCAAATTCAATGGACAATTGCTTGAGAGTTTCATTCCCTCTAGAGGATTAAGGCAAGGTGATCTTTTATCACCGTTCTTATTTCTTTTTGTTGCTGATGGCATTTCTGCCCTGTTCTCTAAATCAGTTGAGGAAGGCTCGCTAAAGGGGGTGGCTATATGTCGTGGTGCATCGGTTATCTCTCACCTATTATTTGCTGATGATACTATGTTGCTCTTTGAGGCGTCTGGCGAGCAAGCGAGCATTGTTAAGGGGCTGTTGAACACTTATCTCCTGATGAACTGCAATGAGGATATGCGGGATTGCACTATAATGTTACTATGGAGGATATGGACATTAAGGTCTGATATGGCGCATGGTAAAGATGTACCAAGTCCGACTGCTACGGGAGATTATCTACAAAGTTATATGCATTCGTTACTGTTGGCCAGGAGATACTCTACTAAGGATATCATAAAGGGGAAGATGCCTCTGCTGGGTGATGAGACGACCAAGCCGGCCGGGACGACAATGAAGTTACAATGGCCTCGACCTGCGGAGGGCCAGGCGGCCTTATCGGTCGATGGATCATTTTCTGCATCAGATGGATCAGCAGCTGCAGGTATGATACTCAGAAGAGATGATGGGTCTGTTATATTTGCAGCTTACCGGTATATCTTCAACTGCAATGATGCTTTGGAAGCGGAACTACATGCAATAATGCAAGGGATGGCACTAGCAATCCAGCATTGCAACTTGCTGATCATTGTCCAATCTGATTCTGTCCAAGCTCTTTTGTCTATGACCGGCGAAAGTCTGTCCCGATCGGCGTATGGTCATTTAGTTGCTGAGATTCGTCTTCTCTTGGGTGAAAG